AACAAAAGCAATGGTTAACTCCACTTTGACCAAAATAAAGCATAACTATGAGCAAAGGTCAAAACTGGCCCAGGACTATAAATTGGGTTCTGCAATGGAAGCCAAAGTTCATGAGATATTTCTTTCCAGTACGTCATTCTTTTTTCTTTTTTTAAAAAGATTTATTTATTTATTCATACAGAACTGGGGTACAAGCCAGAGGTGCAGGGACGGTGAGAGGCTTCACCAGAGAGAGAGTGGTGAGCAGAACAGGCAGGCTGACGAAGTACACGGCTGAGGGGAGCAGCAGGCGGTTCAGGAGAGGTCTGCCATGCCATGTGGGTCACCTCCGGGCGGGGAATCCAACTTGCACTGAAGTGGTTGTAGCCAGCTTGCAGTGCTGTATCCTAACCCGTTGCGCCACCAGGGAGGGCCATCATTCTTTTTTCTTTTAAACTTTCACTTTGAAATTCAACTTTAGACTTAGTGAAAAGTTGCAAAAATAGTACACCACTGCCCATATTCCCTTCACCCAGCTTCCCCTGATGCTAACATTTATTCTGACTTCACCAGCATTTCCATAATACCTTTTTTCTGTTCTAGGATCCAATCCAGAATCCTACATAGTCTCTTCTAAACCAAGACAGTTCTTAGACTATATTGACACTAATGTCCTTGACACATTGGAAAATTATTGCTCAGTTACTTTGAAGAATGGATTTGTCAGATGCTCCTTCATAATTGGAATGAGGTTATACATTTTTAGTAAGAATACAGATGTTGTGTCCTCAGTGCAACATGGGGGTTGTTTATAACCTTGATCAGTTGGTTAAGGTGGGGCATCAGCCAAGTTAACCACTATCACAGTTTCTGGGTTTCCTTTATATGTATTAAATATTGGGAAAAGACACTCTGAGATTCAGATATTCTGCTTCTCTTCAAATCTTCACCTACTGGCACTAGTAGGGACTCCTGCTCACAATTTTTACCACAGCATTTGTTGCATGGCAACTCACACACCTGGAACCAAGAGGAAGCAGCTAATGAACAAGCCTTTCCATTCTCAATGTCAACTTAAACAATAGTGAGATTTGAACTAAGTGTGCAAAGGGGTTTCAAAGGTCCACTTCCTGAAACTATGGTGTCTCAGTCATTATTTCTGGGCTGTTTTGCAGTCAACTCAAAGGCCATTGACAAATCATGGTTAGAAGGCAAAGAGAAGAAGAACGGGGAGCAGAAGCAACCTCGATGCTAAACAAGGTGAATGAGGTTATAACACAAAACAAAAACCACAGGACTCCTTTTCATATAACCAAGGGCTCAACTTATTCAGTCAGCTGCCTCGTTTTTCCATTTATAATGAGACTCAGCCTCCTCATGTTCCACCCCACAAGCAGAGCCCCAGACAACATCCTCATTTTCAATAACTCTTCCCCTTTATCTCACTCTGCCTGATGCCTAATAAGCTGATTGCTATTTACTTTGGACCAACAGCTAATCTGTTAATGATTGATTTTAAATTTTTACAGTCATTTGTCTCTGGCAGGACCCGAGACTGCAAAAGGCAGTCCTTTCCTACCTGATGAATTGGCTTTTTCTTTAAGAAAAAAAAAAGGAAGGAAAAAGAAAGATTTAAGTCAAAGTCTTTCTAGTTGCATTCTGCTGACAAGCAATTGACATTCAATGAGAAATTTCAATTCTCAAAGAAATGGTAACTTTTCCTCTAAAATTCATCTATCTTTGAAATTGAATAATAAAAGTGGACGGTTTGCTAATGGTGGCAGGGGGCAAAGACCCTTTTTCAACTGAAGTAAGTTGTAATTGTACTATAAATTTACAGAGCCCAAAATTCTTAATTAACAAAATTGATGCTCATTGTCCAACTAGAATGGGCTATCTTAACTTCATGTCATTATTGTCCTTTAAAATGATGCAAATTGCACACCATATGATGTGTGGTTTTGTTTTTGTATAGATGCAGAAACGTGAAGTTTGTTTTCCATTTTAAAAAAAGACGGTTGAATAGACAATGGTTATTTTAATTGGTATCACACAGCAGTCCTCTGCATTTTTTTTTTTTTCCTGGGGAAGCCTCCTCAGTTTATTGAAACAAAAAGCAAATCTCAGATAAGACTCCCAGGGCATAAAGTCCTCTGCATTTTAATCACTGCTTCTAAAAATGGAACGCGGACAACTACTGTGTTCGGAAAAGGAATGGGGACGTGTGCAGGAGAGCACTGCATGCGTTTATAAGCACCGCATCTTCCACAAAGTTAAACTGGCATCAGAGACATCCTCTCTAATTTTGTAAATAAGAATGACCCCCAGGGCTAGCATTCCCATCAAATATTTATTAAAGCGCACCCCAAGACCTCTCATCTCAAAATGGAATTAAACTCATCCAAGTGTCTGAAAGATGAGAGTGATTTAAAATGTGAACCAGCATTTCCAGGAAGGAAATAGGAAAGACTCAGGTAGAGAGTGGTGTGTTGGTAGCTGTAAGTGGTGGTGGGTCTTCCTGGAGAGCCAGTGTTATAAATTAACAGATTAGACATTTTGCAGATCCTCTAAAAGGAAAGGCTAAACTCTTTGAAGGATAAAAGCCCTAATCTTATTAATATTTTAGATCTTGCAAGACTTTGAGGCTCCATCTGCTGTCAGCAATACCTGAGAAAGATCAAAGCAGCTGAGCGACAGAAACCGCGGAGGCCCGATGGTCTACTGACCTTCCTGAGAGGCAGATATCATGTGACAGCAATTGCCTATCTCAGCAGACGCGATGGAAACAGGAGAAAGTGTTAAATATAACCAGGTAGACAGTGATGAATTGACATACTGAAAAATCGAACGCTTCAGTAATCAGCCTAAGGATCTGATATCAACAACATTTTTCAGTTTTGTCCAAATTCATTGAAAGGTGTACTTTAGCAAGTTCACTTCTCATTGGTAAGACCTTTCATCTTTATGCTGCTTTTCTGATTGGATTCTGTGTCATGGTCGGTTTGGGTGGCTCTGTGCAGAGTGGGGCAGCCAGGCTGCTGGCTGGTGAGAGCAGAAGGGCTGGGATGAGCATGGATATAAATGGGTCTTACTCCAACATTAATTAGAAAACTATTAAATATCTATCAAAATGGTTATTTAGAAAGAATTATTAAAGCCATGGTATATGAAAATGCATCAGGTACTATGTTCAACAGCACAGTAAACCTGAAATATTGAATTATTGCCCTCTATTTTGCAGTCAGAAGCTTCTGTAACTATAATTCTAATTACAGAACTCTAATTAATGTCTACACGCCTTCAGATAACTCCATTAAATCTTTGGAATATTTATATTATCCAAAGACAATCTCTACTCATTAGAATAAAGAAATCCTTTAAAATAACTTATAAAATGCTTTCTTTTTATGAGACAGGTAAGTCATAATGTCTACTTAAGGTTTCAGTCATCCCTATAGTAGTGTTTTAAAAACTCTTTAACTCTGTCCTTAATACAGATGTAACAAGATTATCAGCGAAGGTCACTCCTCCCTTGGAGATTAAAACAAAAACTGGTTCAGTATATACCCCATTGCCTGATGGAAGCGGATGATCTCTTCTCAAATTCTGAGAATTCCTCTCTCCTCAAATTCTGAGAATTCCTGGAAACTAACTCCCAGGATTTCTTTGAGCCGAGTTCTTGAACTCACTGTGTTTCTTCTCCTAGGATAGCCCTATGCCAACCTAGGTTTTAAAGGTGAATTCTTTTACAACAGCAGTCCTAGAAAGTATTAGTGTGGAACAGACTTTGTGTTTCCTTAAGAGTGTCTTACCAGGTGTCATCACCTTTTTTTCCTCCCTTATTTCATCCCTCTCCCTTCTTCATACCTCTCTGATCTAAACCTCTATTTCCATTCCCAAATTTCTACAAACTTCTTCCATAGAGCAACTTGCAATCTCTTAGTCTAGCTCCAGACTCTTTAGGCTCTCTCTTATGGGGCTTATCTCCAGAGCCAAACGTTTCTTTAAGGTGGCAGATAGTCTCTTCCATGAAAGGAATTCCCGGGTAGAGCTCTTAAAATAACAGCATTTTCCCCAGGTTGTGCATATATTAAAAGGAAGATCTGACTCACTTCTGCAAACATTCAGGAAAACAAACACAAAGAACAGCTACTTCTAAGGTTATAAGCACCATAAAAAAGCATGAAAGGCCAACGAAGGAAAAGAATATAGCTTGAGGACAGGGCTTTGGGGGGACCCTACTTTCAGAATTGCCTTGGAAATAGTTAATGAAAGGATTGATTCACAGACAATCGGGAAACCATAATGAGCTAGAAATGAGCGTCACCCCTGTACCTTCCTAGGCTCCAGGATCTCGGCTGTGCTCAGAAAATTCAGTGTGAGATGTCATGGTGATGTCGTGTGTAACCAATTTCCTGCTGCAGACTAGGCTAGAACTTCAAATGAGACAATGCTCTGCTGCTTGGATGGACAGAAAGAATTCCCAGAACAGACAGGAAGTCAATTGCTTTCCTTTCACTCCCAGCTTGAATATAGTAGATCAAGCATCTCTCCAATACCCTTAAGGTTCAGGCAACTACAGACTATATGGATAATAACTCAACCTGTGATTCACGTGTCCACATGAGCTCAACAGTCTTGGCAGAGTGCTAAGTCCCAGATCAGATGAACACAAATAGAAAATGACTCAATTCATTGGCAAAGTGGACACATCTTAACCTCCATTGGGATAATTCATGCAGAAGATGTTTACTTTAAAATGTCTGAATGGGTTGCTGTTCAATGGATTTTTTTTTCTGGCTCTTAGAGCAAGGGGGTGACAGATGGTAAACAAATTACAGAAATGAGTCAACTAAGATTCAAGCCTAAATATGAATTTTCAACTTAGTTTAATGCTGGAAGTGATAGTCAATGGCAAAAGTGAGAAAGTGAGTCTTCACTGGAACAGAATCACTACAAGCTGCTTGAGAAGGAATGGACTAGTCTTATTAAAATCTGTTGTAACCCTTAGAAGCACTTACCCAGCTCCACTATGATTGCTCTGTCAGAGACATGTTGGACAAGACTTTCCCAGTGACATTTCAAGGGACCTAGAAAGAAAGTGACTGTGACTATGTTTTCGCTTCAGATCATACATCTTCCACCTTTTACTAAAGAAAGTGACTTGTAATTAGTCAAACATTGTCACTGAAGTTACAATATTTATGGCTCAATTTATTCAATTGGATTCATATATTCAACATATGATCATAGATAGCCAATATTCATGAGTGATACAAGCTATGGACTTCTGTCAACTGACAAATTCCAGATAGAAAAAGAAAAGCTCTGAAAAATCAGAACTTCCATGCTAGTTTATGTTATGACCCCCCCTTTTTTGTAATATCAAAATATTCTGAGCAACCATCAGCTTGTAACCGGATTACATTAGCCTCATAAGGCGCTACCTGGCCCAGGCAAGCAAGTGCTGCCCCAGGGCGGGAAATTCTTCTTAAAGTCAAAAATATTACAACAGGCTGATTAATAAAAGCAATTGGCTGTTATAGCAAAATCAATACTGTAAAATAAGACAGTACTAGAACATGCTAAAAATTACGAGTTCTTTTACTGCCCAGATGAGAATTCAAATCTTATCTCTCTACTAGCTTACTTAAGCTTTCTATTGCTTAATCTTTAAATGAGGAATCTTACTATCTCCTTTAGTAATTTATCTACAAGAAAACTTCTCCACCCTAATCCTTGACTTTACTTTACCCTCTTTCACAACTTTACCTTGGTCCGCGACCTCACTTTATCCTCTTTCACATCTCCAACCCAGCCTCCACCCTGAGCCCTCGACTTTACCCTCTAAGATGTCTCAATGATACTGAAGATCATTAAGTAGCATTTAAGGTTTAAGGGGATTTTATTTTAGCCAGTCATCACTGTGATAAATGTAATAATGTTAGCCTTAAATTTTATGAATTTATGTACCTACCTTAATTTTAATAGGTTGATTTTAAGAATAACAAATGTTATATCTCAGCTGAAGGTCAATACGACTCCAAACCTCTCAAAAAAAAAAAGATGATTGTGATCTTAGCCCAATTCATATGCTAATGTTATCTCACTGCTTGCTTGAAATGTATAAAATAAACTTCTGCTGACAGCAGTACAGGAAGACTTGCACCCAATTCCTATTCCCGTCTTCCTTGCACCCACTCCCCTTTTCTCCCTTTTTAGGAATCTCCACTCTCCGATGCCACTCCCACTTTAAGACCCTACCTATTCTGCCCCCCAACAATCCATGGTGGGGACGGTCCCCAACTTACAAGCCAGGAATCTTTTATAATAATAACCCATGTACTCACTATAACAACACTAAAAGGTAGGCGCTGTTATTCCCAGTTTACACGTGAGGAAATGGAGGCATAGAGAGATAATTCACCCCCGCAGAGATGACATGTAGCCAAACTGGGATTTGAAACCACGTAGGTGACTACCCAACTGTATTTATATTTGGTATCTGCCCTAGATGGCTTCCACTAAATGCACCCACAGTTGTGCCCCAGCAATCTCACCAGAAAGAAGAATAGGCTTCCTGTTACTGTTATAGGGCACCCCAATTCTGTTCCAGGACGGGGGAGAGAGGGGCACCCCTGAAGCCCCAAAAACCTGCCTGCTCTAAGTGGGTTCTGCCATCCGCCGCAACAAAACAAAACATATAAAGCTTTAATGAAAAGTGACTTTAGTACAGTGAATATACAATATGGAACACAAAGAATATAACTTCTAAATCAAACACCTAAAGTTACCCGCCCCCTCGTGGGCAAAAGTCAACCCAAAAGGGATTGGCCCAAAGCAAGGCCGGAAAGCCTGCCACAAGCCTAAAGCACCTTCTGGCCGGGACCCATGGAAAAGGGTCAGAAATGGCCAGACAAATCTGGGAGGAAAAGAGCAAAATCAAAATCAATATAAACACTGCCATAGTCACCTCCCTACAGGTATCTCACCCACATCTGCCTTAACCAGTCCAGGGCCAGGAAACAAGCACGGTTTCTTCATCACATGCTTGCTGCGCCATGTGGCTTCCTCAGGTCTCCTTCTGGCTCTCCATCCAGCTTCCTTCTCTTCTTCTCTCTTCTCCTTTTTCTCTGCCCAGCTCCACCCTCCTTCTGGGTGGGGCAGGGAACCTGGAACTTCCCTTTTTCCTAGGGACCACCCTGTTACATTACCACCCAGTAAGTAACTGAGGATTGAGGATATGAGGAAATCTCACAAATCCAGACTGACTGTAGGCCGGCAATGGCTGCATTAAGGGAATTTGTAGCACAAAGTATTTTAGAATATATTGGTTTGGTTAATTCCAAATACAATTCAGCCAATCTCTTTTACCATTAAATGTGTCAATTACAGGTTTCAGGGACCTACTTAAATAAACAAATAATATTATTTCTCCACTAGATGAGATTTCATATGACAGAATTAAAAATAATTAGTTAACACACACCCTATGATCCCACTTGGACTCTACTTGCTTTGCAAACCGTCTCTACCTTGCAAATACTAAACAGTAGCCTAGCCAGCTAAACTAGGATATCCTTCACGTTATGGAAGATGCATTAGTGAGATTATGCTGCAATAATAATGGCAGGTCTGAATCTCTAACCTAATCCTTCAGATATGGCAACACTGCAAATATATCTTAATTTACTTTATCTTGCATGTAAGCACTGCTTTTGACACAGCCATTGGCAACCCTAAGTGTATTTGCACTTGAAACAGGCAGCTGGGTCTGGTACATTTCCCCAAATCTCAAAATGTAATTCTCTCTTCACTTATGAACCCCAACCCCTAATTTGCATATAACACAAACACCTACTTGTTCTTGCACTTGTTTAATTAATTTTTACTTAATTTTTTCCCCTAAGAAAAGAAAGTAGGTCTGTCTAACACTCTTGGCTGTCCTCTGTCCTCCCATGTCTGTTCAGACATCCACCCCACCCACATATAACTCAGGGCTTAGCCTGACTGGGCCGTCAGTGACTGACCTAGTGTGGGCAAAGGAACAAATACCAGGTGGGGGATTCCAGCAGAGGTCAGCTGAGGGGTTTCTGTATGAAAGACATACAAGGAAGAGAAAGGCTCTCTTCACTGCTGTCGGAGGTACTTTGTTTAGTCGTGATGTCTGGAACTGCAGCAGCCATTTTTGACTCTGAGGGCAGATTAGGGCCCACAGAGCATAAAAATAAGAATAACCCAGGCCAGAGAAGATGCTAGTGAGTCACCACATTAACAGTCACAGAACGTCAGAACCTCTTTATTTCCAGGCTTCTAGTTGTATGAAATAATAAATATCCTCACTTGTCTACCAAGTTGAACAAGGTTTACTCAGAGCTGAAAGTGTCCTAAAGGACAGAGCAGGAAACCTAATTATGTAATTCACTTTAATTAATTTCTTCTGCATATATTGATTGAGTGTATATACTCTCCCCAGGGCATTGTTCTAGAACATGGGAACAGAGCTATAAATAAAATAGACAAATAGAACACATTTACTGTGGAGAATTTGCTTTGTGCCTTACATTGTTAGCCGAGCACAAATGGGAAGAGAGGCTTGCAGGATGGGAGAAAGTTGCATTTATAATGCACCAAGACACCTTTTAAAGGCTCTTTCATTTGATCACCCAAGTTACATGATCCCACTTATGGCCACATTTTAGGCATGAGGATGCTGGGGCTCAGAGATCAAAGTCAAGACCAGAATTCAGATCTTTGGCACTATTTGACACTCTTTCTGCTCTCCCACTGCATCAAGCCTGCAGGACGGGGCTAGATAAAGAGCAGAAGGAGCAGAACTTGAGGTTCCTCAGCCTGGCGTGTCCCACATGGCCATGTCACAGATGTATGTCTCCTACCTGGTCTGAGACCAACACAGGGCCATTATGTGCCCAGTGCAGACTGTAAACAGGACGAGGCAATAAAATTCAGGACCATCCCAAGCCAAGGTATATCTAGTGACTGTGAGATAAACACTCAGCACTTTTGTAACCGGGTGGTCCCCAGGAAAAAGCGAAGTTCCAGTTTCCCTGCCCCACCCAAGAGGGTGGAGATGAACAGAGAAAAAAGAGAGAGGAGAAGGAATTTGAAGAGAAGAATGCAGCAGCAGGATGGAGAGCCAGAAGGAGATCTGAGGAAGCCACATGGAGCAGCAAGCATGTGATGAAGAAACTGTGCTTGTTTCTTGACCTTGGACTGGTTAAGGCAGATGTGGGGGAGATACCCATGGGGGAGGTGACTATGGCAGTGTTTATATTGATTTTGATTTTGCTCTTTTCCTCCCAGACTTGTCTGGCCATTTCTGACCCTTTTCTGTGGGTCCCCGCCAGAAGGTGCTTTAGGCTCGTGATGGCCTTTCAGGCCTTGCTTTGGACCACTCCCATTTGGGTTGACTTTTGCCCATGAGGGGATGAGTAACTTCAGGTGTTTGATTTAGAAATTATATTTTTTGTGTTCCATACCATATATTCACTGCATTAAAGTCCCTTTCCATTAAAGCTTTATATGTTATGTCTTGATGCGGCAGATAACAGAACCTATTTGGATCAGGCAGATTTGGGGTTCAGTGGTGCCCTCTCTCCCTGTCCTGTAACACTTTCAGTGAGAATGTAGCCATGCAGGAAGGAGCAGAGATGGCTGTGATTTCCTGGCCTGTCATCTCTGATCCAGGCTGCTCTAGAAGGGATGTGGTCCCACCCTCTGCAGAAAACAAACAACTCCTGCATTAGATAGGCAGTTAAGGTACAGAGCTAGAAAGACACTGGCAGCTTCCCTAGACACTATATGTTCTCCAGAAATAAAGGAATCCTTCCCCAAATCTTCCACTTGGGGTATTATTTAGTGGCATACTGATAGTCGCTTCCACTAACTGAGCCCGTGATACATTCTGGCAGTTCTTGCACTGTAGGATTATATTATGACATTAATTCTATTGTTATACTTGCTTTTACAGGTAAGAAAACTAAGGCACAGAGCACTTCAGCAATTTGTTGAAGGTCTCAGAACAAGTTCGGCACATAGCTGTGATTTGAACCAAATCTGTCTTTTAACT